CGACTTTGTGGTGGCGTTCATGTGCGTTCAACTCATAAATACGATATCATAATACCAATATTTGTGAGAGAAAAAAAGACAGTATGGCTAATAACATTTCTTATTGAAATTTATTAGGTACGTTTTCCAAAGAGACAAGTATTTATTTTGCATCCAACAAAATGCAATGTTTCAATGCTTAACTTGAGATTTTCAAATATTTAACACGATCACCTCGGTGAAAAGTGAAACTAAAAATAGGGCAGTTTGCTATGAGACTACTGCCAATATTAAATGTTGTCTTATTTAATCATTCATACACTGAATGTTTAAACACATTGGTAAGATAATCACAAGACACTGATTACTTCTATTACTTTTTCTACAGAGCACAGCACAAGTTCTTTGAAGTGTACAAATGTAGTAGGGTTATAACCACAATAAATGTTGAGGATTGAAACGGAGATGATGAATATGAGCAATCTACTTCTTCCTTCCTCCTCTTTCCTTAAGGGCCAGATGAATCACGGATCCATTGTTCATGTTGTAATAGGCCAGAGAGTTGGAATCTTTGATGAAAATTCCCTGGAGAAACCAACGCAACATGAGAACTCAGTTTTCATAGCAAGTATTTTATATTTAATAATGTCATAACTAAGATGGCCTTGTTCTTTTAAGCATTCACAGTTTAAATAACCATCTCGTCATTCCACTGAAATAATTTACCTCATACTGCAGCTTCTGTTTTCCAGCCGGCATTCCAGTGGCTTCATGGATCTTAACCTTGATGACAGACACCTGAGGCACAAAATGGCATTTGATTAGCTCACACGTTCATGAATTCTATACAGAGTTCGTATAATCCTAAAGATTAGTAGTTAAAATATGTACAAATGGTGCAGACAGATACTGGATAGGCAAAGTCTTTACCTGGTCTGTGAGAGGCAGGTTGAAGTTCAGCACTTGGCCACTCAGCTTCCATTCTGTCTTGTCCTGCATGTTGGGCACCTGGACCTTGACTCCAACAGGTCCCTAAAAGAGAGCAAAGGTCAATTTAAAATTATTAACAAATCACCCTTATGTAGTAACAGTAAAAAAGAAAACAATACTGATTGCTAAGTGCACTCGAAACACTTTGTTGCAGCAGCGCTGTACCTTGTTCCTGCGCAGGAACTCCTCTTCTGGAATCAGGTTGTCCTCGGTCTTCATTTTCTTGCTGGAAGGCTCGTCCTCGTGAGGAGGTGGAGGATGGGCAGGAGGCATAGGGGCGGCAACAGAGCTGGGAGGTTGAGGCACAGGGGGAGCTGGAACAAATGCTGAAAACAAAAATGTATTAATTAGAACAATTAGTATTCATAAAATTAATACAATTATTAAATTAATTATTAAAACTGTTTCTTATTTATTAAAATCCTTATATGACAAAAAGGTTTATTAAATATAACAATAAGTATCAATAGAATATAAATAATTATTATTTTAACTGTTAATATAATCATTACAATTTTAATATACAACATAGGAAAGTCTGTTGATTAAATATTTATTAAAATGTGTACCAAGTAGCTATGCAACAGATCTATTATCCCAAAGACTCACCAGCAGGAACCACCATGGGTGGAGGTCTGGGTGCCATAATATGGGGTGCAGAGGGCGGCATAGGCACCACATTGATGCGAGGGGCATGCAGCATGGGTGGCATGGGGGCCAGAACTTGCCCGGGGGCCAGGCGCACCACAGGGGCCACTGGAGGTCTGGGTATGATAGGAACCGCAGGGAGCAATGTGGTCCGCACTGGAGGTGCCATCTGGAATATATGAAAGAACCTTTAGTTAGAACTAGCACTTTCATTTTTGTGTTTGTCTCGATCACGCTGATCTGTCAAAACTCCTGAATGCAGAAACAGATTGAGACTCACAGCAAGTGTGGTGCTGATGGGTGGGGTGGGTTTGGGCAGGCTGGGGACTACTGATGGCAAGGGTGGCTGAGGAATCTCGTTGGGCTTGCTGGGGCCGATCTTCTCCTTGGTGTCGTCCTCCTGTACCAGACCTTTAGCTTTGTGGATGGCCTCAATCTGCTCCTGCAGGGTGATGTTAGCCTGAGCAGCCTGCTGGGTACGAGCCATGCTGCCTGAGTGACCGTCCCATGTG